GGACATAATACCCTACTTACTGCTGCCACAGGATAAGAACATAAGCAGTTAACAATATCTCTTTATAAATTCTGAATATTGAAGTGATTTGTTCCTCTTACTGGCACAGTGAGGCCTGAGCTTTCCATATTCAAAGTATAAATCAAATGAAGACATAAAGTAATTTCTCCTTTTGGATTTAAAAGTCTCATTAGCATCAAGTGAATGAAAAGATGAAAAATATATCTTAGAGAAGACCCCAGTGCTATAAATTAAGGGTTTTATATATGTGTGCAGTCACATATATTTCCTTATTCCTAGTAAAATCTCAATGCATGTTTGCTCACTGCTTCCTGCCTTCATTTAATAAATAATGATGTAAAAAGTCTTTACTTGAAGGAACTTGGTTGATCTTTCTAAGAAGATAATTACTTCTGAATTTTCAGTAATCTGGAAAATGATCTGGTCTAATGATATCTAATTCCTAACTGGATTTACCCTGTTAAAGCTAGTCATGGTACTCAGATTGTTTTTATTCTTTAAAGGCAAAACACTATATAGAGGCCACGACTGAATTGGTGAGAGCAGTGATGGCTGTATTAACCCAGTGAGAATTTATCAGTCAAAATCTGTACTTAAGCTCCAGCTGTGCTGATGAAAGTTAAGCATGGATACAGAAAACCGACAAGAAAAATAAGAGATCTAGAGGCACTACTGAATTTACCTAAATAGTTTCTACCTGTGAGTAAACAGAAATAATATTAAAAAAACCCTTTTACTTGAGGGACCCAGTCTCCTAAAGATGTCACACTTCTGCAATGCTAAAAACATCAGACATTTATTGTCTTGAAGGAAAAGGAACTCAAATATGATCACATATGACCACTAGCAGAGTGAAAAGTATGAGTTTGCACTATAAGAATAGCTCGTAGAAGCTACTCTAATAAGTGGCAAGAAAATTAGGAAATATTTTTCAAGCATGTTATTAAAACAGAAATTTATTTTTCAAACAAACTGGGCCTGTAAACCTGCAAAGTAAGGAATAAATAAAAAGAAGAAGGAATAGGTGGAGTATTTATTAACATGAATTACCTCACTTTTATTAGACAGTTTCCCATAAAAGATGAGGAATTGGGGGCTGCAGTAACATATATTACATACAGATATTACTGCAGCTCTTCCATATGGCAAAGGAAGGAGATGGCGGCATGAAGAATTTCACAAAGACTGAATTCCAGAAGCTCTTGGGAAAAGATTTTTACTGTTCTCCAGAGTAACCCAAAAAATTTTCAGTATCATTTCCTCTTTCCCAGTTAGGAAATGTAATTTTCTTGGTTGTCATTAATGGAAGATGCACATCCACTTGTCATTTTGGTTTTTTTTTACTAGTGAAGGTATTTCTGTTATAGTTTCATCATAATTTTTGTATAGGTTTAATTTTTTTCATCATAATGTGATTGAATGCATTCTTAGCTCATATAAAAATACTCAGAAATTTACACTTAATTAAATGCAATTGTCTGCTCCTCCTTTCCCTGTATTATCCAGCTGTGAGTTTTTTCCATATTCAAAAAGCAAAAAAGCTTCCAGCTTTCCCTTTGCACAGAAAATTTACATGACCATGTCTGTACCATGTGGAAAATAAATGTAATACTGCGGTTGATTCATGCAATTTGTCAATATAATTAAAATAAATGGAATCACTCTGATTTTTTGGGTGTGTGTTGGGACTGTGGCCAGCACAAGACATGACAAGCACTATAAATGATCTCTGTGGCCGGGAAGATGAAATTCAAATTTTAGCAATTCTAGGCTGACCCAAAAGGCATTTTGCCCCCTTTGGGGATATAAGAATTATGTTACTGTGCTTCATGACTTTTTTTATAGTGTGAGGACTGGTTAGGTAGCCTACCTTGTACACAGCAAAATGAGGGACAGTAAAAGTGGTGCTGTGCTGCTTGGTCAGTGTCAAATATTGTGTGCTCACCATAGAAGTGCTGTAGGAAGCAAACACCCACACTGTCGTATGATGTCCTGTCAGGCTTAATGGCTGCTTTGTTTGTTTTCCTCCTACTTAAAGGTAGTGTTGCTTTGGGGCTGGTTTATGGCACCATTCCTCATGGCAGCAGAGTAGCACCAAGGAGCTGCAGTGCTGGTGGGGAAGGGTTTGGGTTTGAGTGTACCCTTTCCAAGGAGGATTCAGTGTCCAGGGGACCACAGAGTGTCCTGGAGGCTGGGACTCCGGGGCAGCTCATCACAGAGCTCATCACACCTTTCATTAGTGCTGTGATAGCATCAGTGGTTTTGTCCACAGGCCACTGGTGTGTCATCCATAACTGGATTTAAACGCTGCACTAAACTTCTGTCCGCTTATTGATGATCCTCTTTTCCCACTATTTCTATTGGCAGCTGTGTCAGAAGTTGTGGCAAAGGGGAATTTTAAAGAACAGCATAATTTGACAGGCTTTGAGGGTGTTACAGGGCCTCTGTATATTTTCTTAGCAGACAAGATATTTTTAAAAATGCAATAAACTTTGAGTGTATTTTTTTTCATTTCTGCTCCTATTGCTCTAGCTCAGGAGACATTTTAGTTTTGAACAATCACCATAACTTAGGAGATGTATCTGAACTCCTGAAAAACAAAATATTCATTGGAGAATAATTTTCTTTGTCAGTTCAAAGACAGCTTATTAAATTCTATGCTGTAACTATTACAGACTTCGAAAAGAAAGTAAAACATTTGTAAAGTTAAAAATTAGCTTTATTTAGAAGTGTGAATTTAGTGACAATTGTTATTTGCTCTGATAATGGTGAAATGGAGGCTGCTGCATCACTTGCGATGGGCACTTTCATTGTTACACAGACAAATCATGGCAGGATTCGATCATTCCTGGGATATGCTGACAAACTGCAGCATGTACATGACCACTGTTCTCAGCTGTAGTCTTGTTGGCTGTTTTTCTTGTACATCTGCATTTATATCAAAGGTGAGCACTGCAGTCAGCTACAGTGATCTTTTTCACCTAGATTGTTGCATGTCCGTCAGTAAATTATAAACACTCGAGGGAAACCTGCCTTAGCGTGTCATTCCCATGTCAGTTTATTTCAGGGTAGAGGGTGATTCTGAAAAGCAGAATAGTGAAATTTAAGGTTTTGTTTGGCTTTTGTCATATTAGGATCTAATATTTATATGTTACGTGGTATATTGCAGTTATTCTTTGCTCCTTTCCTCTGCTAATGTCGGGAAAAATATACGCAGTAAGCAGGGGGTTAAATTCCCACTCAACAGGCGTATTTTTGGTTTCTGTAAGGGAAATGTGAGTGGATCTCAGTGCTTTGCAGCGGAGGGCAGCACTCCATGGCAGGAGCAAGCATCCAAGGGAAACGTGGCTGGCAGCAGACATCCATAACGGGAACGAAACACTGTACCAGCTCTTCCAGTTTCACAGGGACCTCGCGTTTTCCAGCTGTTTACCCTTGAGATGTAAAATGGCAATTTGGCATAGGCTAACAGCCCGGTGTGATGTGAGCATCTGCGTAAAAGGCTGCACATATGGAGCATGCCCAGTGGTATGAACAGCCTGTTACCCCACCCCCAGCCAATCTAGGAAGAGATGAAATGAACTTTGCACTTGCAAATGTCACTGAATACATTTTGCACAGGATTTTAAAAGGTTCTTTTACAAGCACTATTTTTAACAGCCAAATCCGCCCCCCAAAACAGAAAGGAAAAAGCCCTAGGTATTTTTCTGTGATCGATCTCAGTTTATGATCAGCTGAAGCATCTCTCACAATATTTCCAAAGCTGGTTTTATTTCATGTTTTTATCATTGAAGTTGAGATTTTTGGAGGTGGTTTGGATTTTCTGGAGTTTTTTTGGATTTTTTTTATTTTTTCATTTTTTCCTACTGGCATGAGAAAATTTGAGAATTTAATTCCAGTAGAATACTTGGAAGCAGTGAGGCTGGAAGCTTGAAAGGCAGAGGGAAGAGAAGGAAGGCTCTCACGGCAGAGCATGGATAGGAAAGGAGCTGTGATTCTGCAGTGCTCAGTGTGCACATGTTTTATGAGATCAGTGCCGGGCGCTGCAGCTGCGGACAGTAACTGAGCTGTCTGGCTAATGAAGGCCACCTGGATCAGGCTTCTGAAAAGAGCCAAAGGAGGACGTCTGAAGAATTCTGATATCTGTGTAAGCCCTGCATTTTCCTTATCACCTTATATTGTATATATTGCAAGGAGGGAGAGAAAAAAGGCGGTGAGGAGAGGACAGTTGTTTCATTCTGATTGAATTACCAGAACTCTATTTTGTATGCAGGGAGATGCAGAGGGAAAGCAGAGCTGTCATTATTTATAGAGCTGTTCTGGCATTGTGGCTGCTTCCATTGTGGTGATACGGGGACATGTGTTGAGTCCAGACGGATTTTATTAGTTGGAAGTTGATTTGTGGTCATTTGCATGTCTTGCTGAGGGGCAGAGATGGATATGAGCCATTTGCTGTTTTGATGGGGAAAGTGTGTCAGGTAAAGAGGCTGCCCTAAAATAAAAATGCATAGCAGAGATTAAATCTCTTAGCACTGATATTGTGTAATGGTAATTATTGATACTAAATTTGCATTTTGATTATAGAAAGTCTGTTTGCTTGCTATTTCTGTCACTGTTTAGAGCTCTAATTTTTATGGAGCCATCCTTGAAGCTGCTGTGCGTCCTTCAGCCCTGCACTGCACCAGTGCTCTAAGTCTCCAGAGAAACTGGTTCTGCTTGCTGAAAAGCACACAAATAAGAGTGCAGAGATAGGGCAGGAAGTAAAACACTGGAGAAAACACCTGCACTTTTTGAAAGTTTCCAGAAGAAAATGTTTACATAGATATAATTTCTTCTAAGTGAATTTCCCTTTTGGGCAGTTAGTCTCTTTTCAGTGATACAGAAGTAAAAGAAAGAGCAAGGTGTATAACCACTTCTACTTTTTCTTTTTTTTTAACATCAAAGGAACTTGTGACATTAATTTTGCTTTTCTTTGGCAGGGTTCGGCGGACTCCTACACCAGCCGTCCATCTGATTCAGATGTATCTCTGGAAGAAGATAGGGAAGCAGTGCGGAGAGAGGCAGAGCGACAGGCCCAGGCACAGCTGGAAAAAGCAAAGGTAAGGTATTGTTTCATGTTACAAACTCATAAAATGCTTGGCTTTAAAGCAGAGGTTGAAACTAGATGATTTTTAAGATCCATTCTAACTCAAACCATTCCATGATTCTTTGTCGTCCCATCAATTAGTGATAAACTGTTTTTAATGTATTAACATATAGTTTAGAGTTCTTATAAACCTTTCAGACAGCAGCTGAAAACATATGCTCCATGAAAAATCACTTAGAATCAGTTTTCTGTAACAGGCACTTGACTGACTTATGTATTTCAGAACATTCTTAATTTAAATGTGTGCATTCCTTCTTTTATTAAATACAAGCATTTGTTGCAGTGTATAGGGTCAATGCTATGAGTTCATACTGAAGATGTTTCTGAAAGTTTGCTCATGGATTGCCAGGGCACTCAATGCTTTTGCAGTGTCAAAAATCAGCCCTCAATTGAACATCCCGTTCATCTCCCTTAAAGGAAGAATCAGTCCCTACAAGTCATATGCAAATAGGGAGAATCTGTTACAAATGTGTTTTTTTCCTAAAGACTTCACTGACTTTACAGTTTGTGTGTTAAGTGACCCCATGAGTCATTTGCTGTAGGTCTTCTTCAGATTTCTCCTCTCTCCATGCTCCTGGCAGATAGTGACAGTGTAGTAAGAAAACACTAAATGAGCTTTAGGTTTTTGCTGTGTGTTTATATATTTTCCATGCAATGTATTTAGGACTGCTAAGGTTTTAGCAGTGAAACTGCTGGGCTTGTTTCTCTCTCATCTGTGCTACATCTTTAAATAATACTGCACCTGTAAAAATTGTGCTCATTTTATTTATTATCATTCATTTATCACTTCATTCCAATTTTTCTTTTTTTGGTATGCTAGCTGTGAGATTTAAATGTATTACTGTTTTCCAAAATCTGTTTTTTGTTCTAATATATTTAAATACACCATTGAGATCCCCCCTTAGATCTACCTATCTACATTTTTCTCTCACTTTCTCTGAGTCCCCTCCTCCATTTTCCCTCATTTTTTTTAATTCTTTATCTCCTTTCCATCTCCTATTCCATTTAATTCTCCACTGCCAGCTTCACCTCTGCCCATTTATGCCACCTGTTTTACACGGGCTCTTCAGAAATTTGTGAGTCCAGCTCACTGCGTTCTGTAGCTGATCGTGTGGGAAGGACCAGCTCTGTAAATAATACAGTACTGTAATGCACAAGCAGGCATCTTCATCAGGCCAAAAAGCCTGAATAGGGAAGCCAAAAATGTTTTTTTTAAAATGTAATTGTTAACTGATATTTAATAAGAGCTCCTACAGCAGCTTTTTAATGAGCTGCTGAAATGTGCCAAGTGTAGGAGATGCTGAACATCTCTTTGAAGTTGGATCTTGCTGTTCTGGGATCAGTGCAGCAGAAACTCAACAGAAGCAGCTCACTTTTTCCCTTCAGCCTTGTATCTCAGAGATTGCTGATTGTAGTCAGGAGTTTCAGTTTTATCAGGGGTGGGTTTTGCTAGTTTGAGGTTTTTTGCTCCTGGGAAAGATGATAAGGGCTGCCCTGAAATTCAGGTGAAGTTTTGAATTTTATCAGTAAAAGCACAATCTTGAAAAGAAGATTTGAAGTAATAGTATCTTGCAGATTAATCAGGGTAGCAGTGCAGTGCTTACTGCTGAACTGATGCCTCCCTTAGCAATGAGTAAATCTATGCTAGTGTTGCTATGGGAATTTGGCTTACTGATGCTGGCTTGAATACATGGACAGCCCTTATGTAATATTCATGACCTCTAGCACAGCTGCCATTGTAGTTTGTAGAGAATCTGCTAGCAGACCTTGACTTCTAAAAGCTGTATTTCTATACATAAAACCAATGTTCCCACTCCAGCTGGCATGAGATATAGTCTCTAGGTCTGACACCGTCTGAAACTGTAAGACAACTTGTGAACAGTCAAAGTAGTAAAGGCACTGCCAAAACCAACCTGTTGTAACAATGGTTATTCCAGTCATAGAAAACACAAAATTAGTTATTTGAATACTTTTTCCTTTAAAATAGATTAAGGCTGGAATTAGATTAACATTTTTGTTTCTCTAGTCAAATGTTAAAAGGCATTCCAGGAGGTAATGTATGGCAATAATTTTATGTAGAGGCTGTAACAGTGTAATATTTAGTCTAGTGCAATATTTAAATTAATACTATTAAATAAAGTATTATGTAAAACTGCTGCTTTTGTTTGAAATAAGTGGTTAAAAATGTGTTTAAATTAAGCCTAACTCGGTAGATGAAAAATATGACAAGATGTGGTTTTTTGCCTTTATTGACGGTTCAGTCCTTCACTTCCCTGAAACACAGTACAATTAATGAAGCAGTAGCTGCTGGTGGTGCCTCCTGGCTGCCGTCAGCCCCCAGATGTGTTTGCCACAGGCTGCAGGTTTGCTGCCTGCTCACCACGGCTGCCTTGCCTAGGCCCTGACTGACTTCCAGGCAGAGCCAAGTGACAAAGCTGCTTTAACTTTTGCCTTTTCTCATCGTGTGAGGAAGTGTTGATCCTAAATAAAATCATTACAAATGTATTTGTCATGGGAATTAGAAGAGGGTGACACACATGAATAATGCAGTGGTGGAGGAAAGATGATAGTGAATTAAGGGTAGATAAAAAATTATTGAACCATGTCACACAGTTAATGAAAAGAGTTAAATGACATCCATTTTCCTTTATTACAGCTAGGGAAAACACCTTACACTGAAGATAAAAATACAGTGATAGAGCACACAATGCCAAATTGTTAGGACAATTTTAAGATTTTTAAATTTGTATTTTTATAGCATCTAAGTGCCTGTGTGACATGAAGCCTGAATGTGTCTCTTATACCTATCCAAACAGGGAAAATGAAAGCAAAAAAGCTCATAAGAAAATGCACATTCTGGCTATCTTTATTTATTTATTCTTTTAATTATTTAATACAAGCGTTGCTTCTCTGGAAAATGGTTAAGCATATTTTGCTGACTCACTTTGGCATGTGACTTACTGTAAGGAAGGTGGGGCCACGGGCGCGTGTTCGGAGTCATCCAGGGACAGAAAATTAAGAGGCAGCTGATGAGGCTACCTGCAGGCCAGTGTCTACTCCTGAAGGAAACAGATCTGAAATGAAGCTGCTCAGCTCAAAGCTGAGGTGAAATGTTCTTGATTAGAATAGTTAAGCAATAAAAATGCAAAAAGGCTGGGAGTTTTTGTTCTTGTTGGTTTTGTTTGGTTGGTTTGATATAGGGGGGAAAAAAAATGGAAAGCTTTGAGGGTTTCCTCAGTGCTCTCCTCACAGACCATAGCATGTGCTAAATCTAGGATAGAGGACCTGTGTTGTGTCCAGGTAGGGTATGGCAATAGTATCCAAATCTAAGGGCTTCCCGTGGTATTTTGCTGAGTTTTCTCTTTTCAGAAAACTATGAATCTTCAGCGTTGACAAGCCAAAAAACATAATGACATTAATTATGTTTAGTGCTAATAATTAAAAAACCATCATTTTTAGTCAAAAAAGCTTTTTAGTTGTTAAAGGATGATGATTCAAAATAAAAAAAAAATGACTGTCAAAATGAGATCATGGCCTATGAGAAGTCAGTAATTGTGTTACTAATAGGAAATCTCAACTCCCCTCAACTCAGCTTTGTTTGCCCTCCACCTAATGCTCCACTGCTAGCATCCTTTTAGGAGTTTGTAAAAATTTGAAATATATATGCTTCTAGTTTTAAATACCGTTAAAATAATTTTTATGTTAAGATAATGAGCCACTGAAATTTTGATACTAGATGTCCCTGTTTTGGGTCTGAGGCAATGATACAAGCTGTCACATTTTTCTTTTTTTGATGTGTGCTGTAGTAGTGGTGATGGCTTGTGACTGTGAGTAATAATGCAATGTCTTAAATGTAATGCATTGCCTCCATGCATGGTTTGGGGACCACAGCTTTGAAATGTGTAGCAGGCTTGGGATAATGCCTACATAGCTCTGTGAGGCTGAGGGCATGAAAAAGATTGTCAGATGTAATTATCCAGTGCAGTGTGCCAAGACTAGTTATTTGAGTATTTATTCACTCTCAGACAGGTTTCACAGCCTCAGAATGACCCCATGCTGCTAGCGGGCAGCTGCAAAGCTAGTTGAGGTATGTCTGCTGAAGCTGCAGTAGCATTTCTGACAGGCCAGAAGAGCCCATCTCCTTGATGTGCATCCTTATATTATGTCAGCTTGTTCCCTCATGGACATTCTTTCTATTTTCTCTCAATTACCAGAATGTCATGGTGCTGAACAGCACACAAAGCTGTAGCAACACAGGATAGGACTGTTAGCAGTTGTGTGTGGTAATATTTTTTTTCACTGATATCTTCTCATTTGCCCTTATGTTTTAGAATATTTTTATTGCATGTAACCATTTAGATCACTAATGTTCTGTCATAGTTGCTGGGATCACATGAGAGCTGGCACAGAGGTCTAGCTGGGAAAAGAATGAGTTGTTGATCCCAAAGTACAGTTGCAAATCTGGTTGTTGCTTAGCTGCAGGTGAGTTCTGCATTACTGGACCTGCTCAAATCAGGTTACAGATATTCTTTTTCTTCATTTTCTTCATTAATTGCTGCTGGTTTTTCTTAGGTGTGTAACACTGGGATGTAAAGCAGCTTCCTTTATACTCTTTTTGACCTGTGTTTTTTTCTGGCGTGTATTCATGATGTCTTTTTTTATATACCCTTCAATTGAAGTGTATATACTTGTTCTACACTAGTGCCTGCTGTTATATTGGTTATTTCCCTGAATGGTTTATCCCTTCTTACTGTTGGGCTGCATTGTTGGGAGCTGGGATTCTTTTTTCCATGGGGTCTCACATAACCTGTAATTAAACATCCCAGAGACAATACCATTTTTAATTAGAAGACATTGGTCATCTCCCATTCATACCATGATTAGAGTGATGAAATATGTTTACTAAGTAGCATTTCTTCTTCTGCTTCTTGGGTTTGAGTAGAAAAAAAGACT